ATGTTTCATAAAACAAGTTTCATGGTGTATGGTGGCCTTAACTCGAGAACCAAAAGCAGCTCCCAACACTGTCTCCATTGTAAACTGACCATACTATACAGAGGGGGAGAGAGAGAGGGAGAAATAAAAGGTGTAAAAAATGAAAAGGTCATTAAAAAATACATGGTAGTTACATTATAAGAACTCAAATTGAAGCCTTTTACTAAAATTATAATTAACTAACTAGCTAATTAGATCTACTTGATGAAATGTGGTGACCCGGCTTTAACAGTTTAACGATAATAAAGAACACAAAATTCAAAATAGTAACAATTTTAGTCAAGTACTTTTACCGGAACTCAGTTCAAACTGTTCAGTGATTTTTGTCAAATTAGCAGCAACATGTATTTGTCAAATGCCAAGTACTGGAGCCAACATAGTAAATGACTTATTTATCATGTTGTAAAAATTGACTCCAAAATCAAAAATATGCACCAGCATAATTATGGATAATCAATAGCTGCCTTACTGCCACTCCAGATATCACTTCAGTGGATGACTTGGGGGAACAAACTAACTGAAGGTCAAAAAATGTCTACCAAAGATATTATTGCATCAGAAATAGAAAAGAGTTTATGAAATAGTTTTAATAACAGTACTATAACAGTAGTATAAAATTCATTAGTTGTCATATGACGTAATACATTAAATATCACAGCCAGTCATTGCCTTGAGGTACCTCTCAATCACTGTAGCCTTGTAAGTTCGAGTAGAACATTTCCTATTTTTAGTATCAGGTCGGTCATACCAACCATCTCTGAAATGATAGGAGAGTCCCTTATCCTCTGGTACCCTAAGCTCCTCCTTATACTCCTTCCTCTGATGCTGCCGCTTGATGAGGTGATGGACCCACGGAATGTAAATGGCTTCAGGAAGAAATACAGCCTTTTGAACATACCGCCCCCTCATGACACAGCCTTTGCTTCTCGTGTAATAAATAGGGAGGGAGTCATTCTTTATCTCAGAGCAGCTGTTTGAACTCAACGCTTTCGCTACTTTTGGCAGCATCTCATTCCCTTTCATCATGAAATTCTGAAAACCGAAAGTTGCGGTAGGAGCTTTATCAATATCAGACATCAGCTCCGATATTGTCTTATGTTGTACCGGAATAAAGAACTCATCAGCATCATTCATACCCAAGTACTTCACTCGATATATATTACGCCAAAGACATTCAGTTATTATCCCAGTCTGTCCGTAATGATGGGAGCCTCCATTAGTAATGTTGGGCTCTAGCTTCCAGTCCAATACTTCAACAGTTCCTTTATTAATGTATGGTAGTAATATATCATAGACTCCTTCTGCCCCAGTCTGTATGTATATTGTTATTATTTCAGCTCCTACTGCCAAGTGCATCTTCACATAATCCAGAAGTACCTTAGGCTTGAAATCAGGTCCAATCCCTTTATGAAGACAAACACCAAAATTATAATCATATTCCTTGGGTTTAATGGTTTGTATGGGGATAACACCA